CCACACAAGACACCACACAAGAACTGACTGCTCTCAGCCTTGTCCCTAGCGCTGCCCAGCGCTGGAGAACAGGAGGCACTGGGGGGCAGCATCTGAATAAGGCAACCTGGCGGGCTCTAGAAGGGGCCTGCTATTCAGAGGAGCGTGAAGACAGAGGAGAGAGGAAGGTGGCTGGGCCCGGAGACTTACCTGGAGGCATGAACTCCTTCAATTTCTCAGGCACGACGATGCCCTTCTCCGTCTGGTAGTTCTCCAGGATGGCGCAGATGGTCCGGGTAGTGGCGCACATGGTGGCGTTGAGCATGTGCACAAATTCCACCTGCGAGGGGAGGGTCCCGAGAGGGAGCGGTTACAGCCACCCTGGGCCGGTCCTCCTGATGCCGAGGAACCACCTCACAGCCAGACCCAGAGGCCACGACCACCCAAGACAAACTCTATCCATTACCATTTCTCTCTGACCTTAATATCTTGTTATTTATTGCTTATTGACGACTCAGGAAGATTCCGCAGTTCTCCAAGAACAACCAGTGTTCTGAGGAGAGGTGGGCCCTCTCAGGGAAAGAACTACCACAGTGGCTTCCTTTCAATCTTTAGAATCTTTCAAGTCTACCTGAATTAGGCCCTAAATACTGGGAATGAAAAGACAAAATTCTTGAGTGAGGAAAGAGAAGACATCGCCTATGACTTGTTCTGGGCAGGCAAAGGGGAGTCATTCTTTACCTGGAGTTATGGAAACCACGCCCCCAAAGAAAAGCTAGAACTACTTTGTAGAACAGAGACAGATTCCAGTTCTAGCTGGAAGGCCTCATCCCTGATTCTGTAGAAGTTATTTTCAGATTCCCTTTCTGGTCTAGACTGAGAAGCTCAGATCTTCCAAGGTGCCGGGAAGGGACGTTCTCGGAGTGCTGAGAACTAGACCGGTCTATTCTGCGGTGAAGGCCAGTTTCCCTCCTCCCCAGGGCTGGCTACCTTGTCCATCATTTTCTTGGTTTGCCCGTAGCGGATTCGGAGCCGGCGAGCCTGGTAGTCTGTGCAGTTCGAACAGGAGACTAACTCCCGGAAGGCTCCGGAGCCCGGAAACCAGGCCTCCAGGTCGAGCTTCTTACTGGCAGCATGATTCAAAGAACCTGAAAGGAGAAACCCTTAGAACTCACACAGGAGCCGCATTTCAGAAGGCTCACCTCCACCAAATCTGAAGAGTTCTTTTATTCCCCTTCTACGCCAGGAGGGAAGTCACACCCAGATATTCTCATCACTGAACACTCCCAAGTGGGAAGAGTGTGATATTTTAATTAATGTGGGCAATTAATTGGACTGTGAGCGATTGCTCTGTGTGGCAGCTCAGCTGGAGAGGCCGGTGCGTGTGGGCTGGAGGCAGCCCAATACCTGAGACGATATTCACGATGTGGTAGGGGATCCCCAAGGACTGGTAGAACTCCTCTGCGGTCGCGATCATCTCTTCAAACATCTCCCATGACTTGTTGTCGTGCGGTGACGAGTACACAAACTGCTCAATCTGCAGTGAGGGACCCAAGCAGACAGTGACAGTGAGATGGGGGAAGACATTAAAGGACAGGGCCTCCCTGGTGGCCCAGGGTTAAGTCTCAGTGCTGTCACCACTATGGCCTGAGTCCCATCCCCAGCCATGGAGGTGACCCACATGGTGCAGCAGACCTCTCCTGTCTCAGCCGCTGCTCCCCTCAGCAGTGTATCTCGTAGACCCTCTTGTTCTGCTCCCCATTCTGTCTCTGGTGAGTCCTCTCACCCCCTGCATCTCTGGTCTATACCCTAGTTCTTCTGTGTTTAAAAAAAAAAAGACATTAAAGGACCCAACAGGGAGGTCTCTTTGCAATGAAGACCCATTCGTACACCTCTGGGAGTCAGGCGAGAGTGGGCCCCAGTGAGCCAGATGGGTGCTAACCTGGCCTGGGGTGTGGCGAGGCACAAGCTCTGAGGTAAGCTGACACAGGCAGGCCAGGTACTGCTCTACGTGCTGTGGACACTCCAACTATGGAGCCTTGTGCAGGCCTGCCCACTGGAGAAGGTTCTACTATTATCCTGAGAAGTTAAGCAACCTGTCCAGGTCACACAGCTGGTGAGCGGTGGTGCTGGCAGGCTGGAATCGGACACAGCAAACTTGTTCCAAATTCTGCGCTCAGAGCTACTCCAGTGTGTGCTCTGGGCTCTTTTCCAGAAACACAGATGGGGCCAGAGCAGGCCTCGGCAACAAAGACCTCTGCTCTCCTCTAGGTGCCCTGGGCAGTGGGAGGCGTCCCACATCTCACCCTGGGCTGTCCACTCACCTTCTCAAACTGATGGACTCGGAAGATGCCGCGGGTGTCACGGCCATGGGAGCCCACCTCCTGGCGAAAGCAGGTGGACAGGCCAGCGTACTTGATGGGCAAATCCTCCGGCCGGAGCCACTCGTCCCGGTGGAGAGCGGCAATGGGCTGCTCTGAGGTGGCGATCAGGTACTTCTCGTCATAGGAGTTGTCATCGGACTTCTCGCTGCCTTTGCCAATCACCTGTAGAAGCAGGCTTCTAGGTTAGGCAGGGGCAGGGCGGCAGACAGAGCAGGAGACCGCGGGCCGGCACCAGTGCTGGGACAGGAGGGGTTTACTTTAAGCCTCCTCCCCCCAGAGTGAGCAGGGGACATGAAACAGTGACGAGGGAGGGACTGGGTTAGTCCAGAATGGGGTTCCCAACAGAGATCAAAGAGGTGCATACTGAAAGGAGATAAAGTATTCTGGTAATAGTTTACTTAGCTGATAAATGAAACAGCCATCAAGGCCATTGTTGGCGGGCACAGAATAAAGCCTGGGCCGGTAGAAACAGAAATTCATTCACTCAGCTAAAGTTTGTGAGGCCCTTACTAAGTGCCAAGTCCTTTTTGCCTGCTGAGCAGAAGGAGACAGTTTCCGTTTTCTAGGGGCTTGTGGGTTAGCCCAGGATTATACCTCCTTTATTAAAGAATCACTTTGGTGTTCAGTGGAAGAAACTAATGCAAAAGAAAAAAAAAAACACACACACACACACCAAAAACCTGCATGTGGGACAAAGTTCTTTGTAAAATCACTATGGACAGCAAGAGGGAAGCCCCCTAAATAATTAACAGAAGACTGACTCTCCTGCATCCAGCTCACGAAGCCACTTAAAAACAAAGGTTACGAGGACCACCCTTAACACGGACAGATGCTTTTCACAGAATGTAAGCAAGTAAAGGCAACCTATCGACTACAATGACAAGTACTGAAGTTAATATACGTGTGAAAAAAGGCTGCATGAGAATATTAAAAATGGTAACTGTGGTACTCAATAATGCAAAGGGGGTGACTGCCCCAGCCTTCTGCAATGCGGCATTGCTTTAAAGAAAACACAAAACAACAAAAAGCCAAATTAGAGAAGGAAACTTCCTCTGTGCCAGGGTTTGGGGACCTGCAAACACCACTTTGCTGTCTGACAAAGGGCATGTAGCTCACTGCAGGGCCACTGTCAGGCAACAGAGAAAGCCCCGGGGCCGGGCAGCCCGCTGCGGCACAGGCACCTGTTGGCGCAAAGTGACAGGAGTTGGTCTGTGCCATTTCATATGCTCAGGAGCCACAGGCTGGGGGCTGCCACACCGGACAGCACAGATGCAGATGTTCCCACCCTGCAGAAAGGCCTACTGGACAGAGAAGCAACAGATGGAGGTTTAGGTCAGACAGGAAATGCCAGCCAAACCCCTCACTACCCCACGGGGGGGCTTTCCTTGCCTGTGGACCCAAGAAGCATCTGGAGAAGAAGTGGCAGGTGCAAGTAGTTCAGGAAGACCTGCTACCTGATATTTCTCATAATCCCCATGTAAGTTTCCCTCCCTGGTGTTACCTGCCTGACTTCATCCTTCTAGAGTTCTGTTAGTGCTTCTCCAATCTTTGGAGTTTAGATGAGAAAGAGAAAAGATCAGATAGGTCTGAGTTGCTAGAAGAACACATTTCTTTCATTAGAAGAGAGAAAGGAAAGAAGAGAGGAAGACACCAAGGCTGCACCTGTGCTCAGGATGTTGCTCCCTGAATGAAGAGACAGCTTTGAACTCATCTACTGGACCCAGTGTGGAGAAGATTCTGACTGTGAAACTCCTCTCTCTACATAAGGTAAGTCAGACTGCCTCCCCGCCATGGGTCTTGGGAGGAAATAGGCAATACGAGCAAGTCACCCCCCTCCGACAGAGCCTTCTTGAAGGACAGAGGACATGTAAACTTTGTGGCAACATGGCAGTCCTCAGCAGACACTAGACATTCTGAGTGCTGGGCACAGACTGGGGGTGTCATGGCTGATGTCAGAACTGATGGAACTGACTTGAACTCGAACCTTGACTCTGAACCTTGACTCGAATCCCCTGGCTCCTTCTGATGCTCACTATGGAATCAGAGCCAAAATGGAAGCCATCCCCACCCCAAGGAAAATATCTTGCTCTGAGGACGCTTTCAGTCTGGAGTCTGAGTAGGAAGGAAGGGAAGCCCAAACAGTTCTATCATTTCCTGTGTCCCAAGCACTCCATACATGTATGTCTGTTCTAAGCTCATCGTGGTGTCTGCTCTTTATACGCGGCAGATGACCTGGGAAGGGAGGGAGGGGGTCAAGGTAGGCCTTATCCATGCTGTCCAATATGGCAGCCACTAGACACCCGTGTTGATTTCAGTTTTACTTCCCCAGTTGTATCAGCCACATTCTATGAGCTCAACAGCCACAGAGAACATTCCCCTCGCCGCAGAACTCTGACTGGACAATGTTGCTCTGTAATCTCCAAGTTAAACTTCGCAACCTAGGAAGCCGTCCTGCCCTGGACACTCACCTTATAAAGTTCTTCATCGAACTGGCTGAGTTGTGCCACCTCCTGCATGACCTCCTTTCTCATGAAAAAGGGGGTGTAAATAGGAGTGTAGCCCCGGCCTCCCAAGGTGCGGAGCGCATACTGGATGAGTGCCTGTTCCAGGAACACCAGGACCCCCTAGAGGAGCAAGAGACCCAGCGCTGTGAGATGGACTCCGTCACCACGTGTCCATCTGCCAGGATTACAGAGCTGTCGCACCCCAGGGACACACGGGAGGGCAGGAAAGGCCAGGGCCCCCCAACAATGGACTCAAAACGCCCCTGGCCTATTATCCAGGTGAAGTGTTATGAGGTTCTCTCTAAGATACAGAGCAGTGAAAGAGCCACTCGCCCAGGGTGTGTGGGAGAGTTGCCCCGTGCTAACTCTTCAGACACTGGACTCGCCTGAATACACAGAGGAAGCCCACATATTTCTCTTTCCCAAATTATTTGACCACGCCCTCCTGCAAGCCTTCCTGCTCATCTAGCTTGTCACCTCTGTCTACCAGTGGTGGCAGTCGGGCCTATTCGTGCCACAGCACTTACCCCCGGGGGTTTCACCCAGGCCCTTGCCTGGCTGTCCAATCACACTGACGCCATAAAGGCAGAGACTGGTTTGGATCGGTCAGCAAAACATATTCATTATGAGGGATCCTGCTTTCGTTGTGAGGAATTCTGCTGAGCAGTATTGCTGAAGAGAAAGAGCAATCCTTCAGGCGCCACGGGTGTGCAGTGGAAAGGTGAGCACAGCTGGCAGGTCGGGAGGCCTTTTAAAGCAGGTTCAGTTTTCTATGCTTTTACTTTTTTTTAGTCCCTTCTCGGTAAGCCCATCCCCAACTCTTACCTTCAGAAAGTATCCTCGGCTGCCAGCCACCACGGCCCCCTTTTCACCTTCAAAGCCATCTACCATCACCACCAGGTCCACGTGAGAGTACTTCTTCCTGACTGTACAGTCACCCCAAATCCTCTCTACTTTGTTGTCGGCATCCTAAGGAAACAAGACCAGGGGAGAAAGATCCATGATCTCTATTTCATAATCTCCACCCTCTCAAATATTATTTTTAAAGATTTATTTTTATTTATTTATGTATAGAAGAATTGGGGTGCAGGCCAGAGGTGTGGGGGAGGGTGAGAGGATTTACCAGAGACAGAGTGGGGAGCAAAACAGGTGGATCCACTACAATACACTGCTGAGGGGAGCAGTGGGCGAGACAAGAGGTCTGCTGCACCCTGTGGGGTCAGCTCCCTGGCCGGGGATCGAACTTGTGCAGCAGTGGCTGCATATAGCTTCATAGTGCTGCGACTTGACCCCCTGCACCACTAGGGAGGCCCCTCCACCCTCTCAGATCTTATTCCAGAACGACCTAGAGCTCTGGTATGCTGGTGGTCACTGCATACAGAGGCTGGAAGGGAATTTGCTAGGGAAATGTGTACTCGATAGAGAATTCATGAATTCTTAGAACTGTACTCATAAAACTGAAATCACAATTTCCCAAAAGATCATGGTACTCATCCTGCTCCACCCCTGCACCCCCCTTTATTTACCCTTTTAAATGACTCCTCGAAAATCCCACACCAGGACAACCTCACACAATCAAAATTGCCTCGGGTGCAGAAGAGAATGTAGATTTTTTTTTTTCCAGGCTCTCATTGGTCCCTGGGGCCACATGAGGGCGGGTTCAGGGCCCTGACCTCCGAGTCTGAGCGTCTGCACCCCCCAGCCGGCAGGGAATGAATGAAAGAGGCACAGATGGGCCCTGCCACCGCCAGGGTGTCAAGGAACAAAGGCTGGGCTCAGAGCAGCTTTGTGCCGGGGAAGCTCCCACTCAGCAGGAAACTTTTATCATGCAGATTTCCCTTCAACCTGCAGCTCCCAGCAGGGTGTGGGTGAGGGGTGAGGTTGATTTAGTAGATCCCTCCCACAAGACTTACTGCTACCAAGGGCAACACGCAGTGCAGGACAGCAGCCCGATTTAGAAGAGATTTCTGTGCCAGGAATCTCCTCCTACCTGCTGTCTCTGCAGCTTCCCAATCAGGCAACGATCTCACTCCTTCTTTGCTCAATTGGTGGGCAGAGGGCATATACAAAGAGCTCGCTCCCGACACCAGGCCTATTATACAGGGAGCGCGGCATCTCACTGTCCTCCCCCAGCCCGCCCCCTTCCCAATCGAGACTTGTAGGGCAGCTGCCTGCTGTGGCACAGACGCCGCCTGCCTGCCTGCCTGCCTGCCCACCTCGTCGTTACTGATGGGCACAGAGGGGTGCAGAAGGTTCCCGATCTCCCTGAGGTTCTCAAACCGCTCTGCTTCCAGCTTCACACGCTCTGCATCACACTTGAGGATGGCTTCATCGATGAGGAGTCTGACTTTTTTGATTTGTGAGACTTTCAGGTTCTGTAGCAGAACAGACAGGGAAACTGAGTCAAGGTCAGAGTAGAAGACTCTGGCCCAAAGCTGGCTGAGCTCTGCAGACTACCGTGGGAGGGGATCCTAAACACTGAAAAGGAAAGTCCTCAAGAACTCTGAACCCAGAGCCACTGGGCTCAGTCTTCGGAGCTGCTGGTTTTCCTCAGCGTTTCTAGAGCAGGGATGGACCAATACCAGCCTGAGCCCCTCCATCCCCACCCCACCCCTTGTGCCCAACCATCTCAGGAATTTTAATACTTGTAGATCTTCTCAGAGTTTTACCGTATTTTACACTTAATGATTTTCCTGATTAAACCAATTTAACACTTGAATATATGCTATATTTAACATTCCCTCTAGGAGAACCATAAATTTACCAGAAGCAAGAAATCTTGTCTTAAATTTATTTTGTATTCGTTATTGCAGGTGTTTCAAACTGCACTTTAATTTCTTGGGGGGGAGAGGGGAAATCCCTTATCAGGCAGGATTAGACAGAAATGTCCCTGCTGGCAACTTTTTGAGTTCAAGCTCTTGCTATGCTTTTGTGCTAAGGGTTGTAAAAACAAGGGAGCAGAGCCTAGAGAACTTGGCAATCACTGCCCTTGGCTATGGTAGCATAATTCTGCATTTACCAAATTATAGTGAGTTGAGAAATTGCTTCACTTTCTGGAGCTGGACAAACGAAGCACAGTTGGGCCCCTATTCTTCCTACCCCTTCTTAACCTCTGTTTCCATCTCTGCTGTCTCATACACCAAATCCGAGTATAAAAGATGGACGGGGCACTTCCCAGCTGCAGAAATTTAATCCCAGCTACAGATGCCAAAATGCTGTGTGGAGCCTTGCGGCAGCACTTGATGTCTAGGAATAGAGTGAAGATAAAAGAAGTCCCAACCTAGAGAAGGACAATAACGTACGGCTAGCGCGTCTGCCGTGAGGTCATCGAAGTTTAATGCGTTCTCTGGGATGGATTCATCATCTCCCATGGGCTCCTTTTTCTGCAGGGAAGAGGAAAAACACTATTAAACAGAAGAAATAAGTCAACAGGTTTACAAATGCTCATCCAATTACCGTATCATCTAAACGAATCCCAAAACTTTGCACATAATTGTCCCTATAAGGTGCAACACCGGAGAGCGGAATCTGTGAACAGGAGCAAGGGTCACAGTTTTAAGCCTCTGCTCACACTTTCTAGCTTTTTTGACAGTGGCTGATTAACCTAACCAAGGCAAAAGGCTGATGTCATCAGGCAGGTGAGAAAAGTGGCTGACTGGACACGGACCCTTCTTGGGCACCAGAAACGTGTGAAATGCTCATGGGAAGTGGTGCAGGACCCAGGAGCCCGCACTGGGCATGGAGCTGCCCAGCCGAGAACCTGGGGATCTCTGCCCACCGCTAAGAGCAATTGCAGTGATGTAGTTTAGGGAGCCCATGGGTTTAAAGTGTGGGGTCTTGGGTTCACTCTGGGAAAGGTTTCACCAGAGCTCCCCTTTCAGCAGCACATGGCGAGTTTCCCAGGTGAGTTTCTTCACGACACAGAGATGTTAGATATAGTTAAGAAGCAGGTTTATTCGGGGAAGGGGACAGAAGAACAAAGGACATTTGCTTAGATACAAATGGGCAGAAAAGAGTTGCTCCAAAAGGGACAGGTTTGCTGAGAGAGACCTGCATGGTCACAGGTGGGCGGCACTGGGGGGAGTTGCCTCTGCTGAGGTGGGTCAGTGCAGAGAAGCCTGGGCAGGTACAGGTCATGGGCAGGCAGGAGGCTGCTGCCCTGTGGAGGGAGAGTGTGACAGGAGCACCTGCATAGTCACAGGTGGGTAGGACTGCTGTCCCGTGCCAAAGCAGACTGCACCAATATAGTCTTGCTCCCTTTGGGAGGGGCCTGTCTGCTGCTGACCCTGGACATCTATGTTGAACCAGGAAGGTGAGTCCACCAATTTTCACATCTCTACCGTCAGGTCTGTGCTCCAGACACTCCCTACAACAGTCTGATACCGGCTGGGCCTTATGCTTTGTGAGAAGGCCCAGGTGCCTAAGGATCTTGACTTCTACAGCTGGGCTAAAGGTCATGCTAAACCCCTCCACCCCCACCTCCTTGTGTGAGTCAGGTTTTAATTTTGTGATGCCTCCTTTAGCTTTTCTATTCTTTCCTCCATTGCCAGCATGAAACAAGGGGGGCATGGATGGGTGGATGCAATATTAGGAGGCTAAGGAAAAATAAAAGTTTTGAAGAAAATTGTCAAAATCTAGAACTAAGTTTGGACCAATCGATGCATCTTGGCAAAAGGGCAGGGTATAGCCGGGGTGAGCTTCTCTTCTCTGGTTTCTCTCTTCATCCTTATTTATGATGACTTTTGTCAACTCATCATTTCTAATCTTTGCCTGTGGCTACAGGAAAGATCACTGTAAGAGCCAAATTCTTAAGCTAAAAGGAGTTAAAGAAAAGAAAATTCATCAAAGACCATCATAGCAAGACATGTAAAATTTGTATAAAAATAAGTTGAGAAGATTTAGAGTCTGCTTTGCAAGTATAAGTAAAGCAAAATGTAGAAATCATGTTCAATGTCCCAAAGATTTCTAAACATTGTAGGTACGTAACAGTGAATTGTTGTGTTTCTTCAATATCATGTACAACTTTTATACAACTACTGAACAAAAACTGAATCATGAGAAATCTTCATGCTCTTCTAAAGGCAAAACATGGAAATCCTTTAAGCTCATCAGACACCCTCAAACACCAAAGTGAGGCACTGGGGTTCTAACCACAACCCAACTCACATCCTTCAGCAATTTAGGCAAAATCACCTTCTAAAGTTGGAAGTCTGAAAATATCAGAATAAGTCTGGATGAAACAAGCACAGACCACCAGGGTAGAAATAAAGGGCCAAGCTAAAGCCACTGCAGCATGAGTTCGATCCCCGCCCCAGGAGGTGACCACATGGCACTGCAGACCTGTCCTGATCCACCCACTGCTCCCCTCAGCAGTGTGTTTCGTTGATCTGCCTGTTCTGCTCCCCACTCTGTCTCTGGTAAAGCCTCTCACTGCCCCTGCACCTCTGGCCTGTTCTGTATGCACAAATAAATAAATCTTTAAAAAAAAAAAAAAAGATAGAAAGGGCTGAATCTCAGAATTGTCCACATGGTATCAGCTGAGGTTCCCTTGCTGATAAGCCCTCAAGGCAGTGGATTCAGGTTCTGAGTTCAAGTTCTGGCTCTGCAGTCCCCAAATTTCCTGCATTCCCTTATCTTCTTATTGATAATAGGGCTGACAGATAAACTACCTACTCTACAAGTCTGCAGCAGAGATCAAAACAAAATGTGTATAAAAGGGTTTGTATATTTGTAAGTGCTACAGAAGTTAAAGCAATGTTAGAGCTTTCCTGAGGACAGAAAAGAGAGCACTCTTGCAGGGCTGGCAGTGAAGGGGTGTAAGAATGACGCTGTCGGGCCCTCCCTGGTGGCACAGCGGGTTAAAGCACAGCACTGAGAAGCTAAATCCACTTAAGCATGAGTTCGATCCCCAGGCCCGGAGGTGACCCACATGGCACGGCAGACCTCTCCTGACCCGCCCGCTGCTCCCCTCAGCAGTGTACTTCATCGATCTGCCTGTCCTGCTCCCTACTCTGTCTCTGGTGAATCCTCTCGCCACACCTGTGCCTCTGGCCTGTACCCCAGTTCTATATAAATAAATAAATAAATCTTTAAAAAAAATGACGCTGCCAATGAGAACACTCATGCCCATCTTCCTGCTATAAAAACCACTCATCTGGCACTATCTGTTCCTAGGTCCCAAAGCATATGGGGATGGGGGAGCGTGGGGACTAATGTAATGATGGCTCCTCTGAAATGCAAACAATTAGGCATCACGAGTCCCATAGGAAGAAAACGGCATCACTGTCATAACAATTTCTGCAGCCAGTCACAAGCCGACAGTGTAACAGAGTGCTATGAAGAGAAGGATGCAGATGCTTATGAAGTGGAAGATGCTGGAATCCCCAGGGAATCTATCATGCGCTTCACTCATCAAGGTCCCAACATTTTAGAATTTTCTTAATTTCATTTAGAGGTTTATAATGCCAACTATTTAGTACACCAAAGTAAAGCTGAACTGAAATTCTTCAAGCACAGGAAGGATTTTTGTGGTCAAATGTTCTGCCCAGAGCTATACCCACTTCTAGGTGGGATTTTTGGATAAAGGCCAGTGAAGACTTCTTCCACTGTTATTCCCAACTGCTGAGCAGCAACAGTGCTGTTAGGCAGGGTGCCAGGTTCTCTACATTAAAAAAATTTCGTTCTCACAATTCTACTTTTTCGGTGAGGATACTGTCATCACACAGATGAGAGAGATGAGGCTCAAAGTTAACTTGCCTAAAGTCACACAGTCATCGGTCTGGGCTTTGGATGCCACATCTGGGCTCTTCTCATTAGAGAGCATGATTACAAAGAACCGGAAATCCACCCTAAAGAAACCCTCCTGGTACTGTTACTGGTGGAATGTACCTTCTTATTGTAAGAACATGCTGGATGAGTGACCAGTGTGGCAAGAATCTATCTTGGGCCCTCCCTGGTGGTGCAAGGGGTTAAAGCACAGCACTATGAAGCTGTCAGCAGCCACTACAGCATGAGTTCGAACCCCCAGCCAGGGAGGTGACCTACATGGTGTAGCAGACCTCTCCTGTCTTGCCTGCTGCTCCCTTTAGCAGTGTATCCATATAAATAAATGTTAAAAAAAGAAGAATCTATCTTGCTATAGCTGGAATCTTTATATTCCCTCGATATTCTGTGACCTCCACCTCCCGCCCCTACTGTGATGGTACTTGGAGGTGGGAGCTCCCTAGTTCCTCCTACCACATAAGAACATAGTGAGAAAATTGTCTATGAAGCAGGAAGAGGGTCACCACACACCCAATATGCTGGCCCCTTGACCTTGAACTTTCCAGACTCCAGACTCTCAGAAATAAACATCTGATCTCTGTTGAGCAGCCTGACCAGTTGACTAAGGCTTGTATGAAGTCAGATGGAGTAACCAGCCTCTGAAAAGTGCCTCTGAGCTCCTGACTTTCCTTTAAAATAATTTCTCCCTTTTGATTAAAAAAATTAGTATCTCGCAGAATGAAATATTAAGCTAGAAATTATGTATTAACTAAGAATAAGATTAAATACCACTGCTCAAGTTCTCAAGGCCGCTACTTAACTCGCTTACCTTCATTTTCTCTCCAATTGTTTTACTGCATAGGTTCTTCAGCTTGTTCAAGTTGTCTGCCCGAAATCTGCCTGGAAAATAAAGAAGCCAAAAATAAACCAAAGATGTACAAGTATCTGCGAGACCTCTGTCTCCTAATCATGGCTCCTTAGCACCAATCTCAGCCCAAGACTAAAATGCAGGAAGAACTAAAGGGCCTACCTCCTGAAGCTGTGAAACCTCACAGCCTTTGAGCTCCACATTCAGTTTAGCAAGTGCTGGTGACCGTGATAGACTCCCCAGGACTTGGTGAGGAAAAAAATGCCATTGTGAGACTAAAAAGCATCATAACTTGATGACACTACTGTAGAGCATCGCATCGAAATAACCTGGAAAGTGCTCAAGTAACTATTACCTGCTAAATCACCTAAGATTCATTTGAAGAAACCACTCACTGGGTTCTAGAAAGAGGGTAGCCCTGTCTGTGTCCCTATGAACTCTCTGCTGCACGTGTGTGCTAGAGATGGTTTGCGTTTTCCCTTTGCTGACACAGTGCTCAACTGGCAGCTTCTAGTTTCTTATCCTTTGGCTTCCTTGGGGGAAGACAGTATACTAATCAGCCTACATAAGTATTCTGGCTCAAATTAACAAACTGGTGTCATAATTCACCAGTCTAACTGTGATTAGCAAAGTCAGACCTCTTGCATTGAAGCTTTAGGAGCAGTATGGTAAAAATTAAGCTTTTGACATTATTGGAAATGAGAGCACCGAGTTATAGTTTTCTTTAAGATTTTCCTAAAAAGGGTGACTCGGTGATGGGAAACCCACGGGGATTACAAGTGAGATGAAAAAAAAAAGTACAAAATGATGTAAAAACAAACTATTATATTATAAAAAAAAATATTTTTTCCTAAAAAAATTAGACAGGCTTATTAAGAAAAGGAGAGAGAAAAAGAGAGGCACTTGCATAGTTACAGGGGGCAGGAGAGCTGCGGGTTTTGCCAAATTTTAACTAAATTTCAACTTTAGCACAAAATAATAGAACCGCTTTTTCATTCACTTACATTAATTACAGAGCTGGAGAACAAATTCGTAAGGGCTGGGAGGGGCTCGAATGGGAAGGGAAGAGGGATAGCGAGAGGCTTCATGGTGGTGATGGAACGGTTCTGTATCTTGAACATGGCTGTGGTTAAAAACCTGCAGTCATAGAACTTCACACACACACACTCCACTGCATGTAAACCCAGTAAAATCTGAATGAGGCTTT